GCCAAGTGATTATTTTGTGTTTAACTCAAAAAAACATTATTAAAAAAAAAACCCTGAAATATGTAAAAGTGCAATTTAACTTAGATATATAGTATAGTCTTGCTTGTTTTTGGTGATATTTTGCCTTTTTTCTTGAGAATGGAGGTCAAAGACTTGAATCTTACTTGTGTTTTGTAAAAACAGTGACTTGATCCCACCTTGTCATTGTCAGTGTCATTGTGGTCCTAAAACTCCTTTTACAGTGAAACTCAAAGACTAAACCGAGAGAAAATTCCCTTGTGTTGTTTTTTCGTAAGTATTTCTGTGCAGAACAACAGACTCTTGTGCAGGTTGTTTTCCTGTGACAATAGTTTCAAGAGAAAATGCTATATAAAGTCAATCTCATTACCAACATGACTACATTAGTTGTGGTGTGATGAGTTGTCATTAATGACAAACTCAGGTTACCGTGCAGAGTTTGGGAAAGACTGCTGTGAAGGGGTTGCCCGACGAACCACCAACGTGAGAGTAAAACAGTAGACTAGACTAAGTCAAATCGAAACAGTGACTGCTGAGTCACACTGTTGTTTTTGTGGTGCGTGGCTTGTATTCTTGCTGCAGTTGCGATCAGTGATGTCACTTCCTGGGTTTGTCAGAAAGAGGAAGCTGCAGTGAGTGACTTCACAGGTAAACTTTAGAACTGGACTAAACCACAGACATGTATGAAACAAAGTTTATTCTTTATTTTACATATCTGTACAATAACATTTCTTTCCTCAGATAAAGATTCTGAATACAACAGGATGAAAACACTCATTTAAAATGACTCGTGTCAGAAAATCAACATTCACAAAATGTTGAATTACAATGCGTTTAGATCGATCAATGTCTTACCAAAAAAGCTACGACTCCACTACAAGGCAGGCATGAATCCTTTACACTCTGAGCACCTTCAACTCAACACCTCTCTGTCTGAAACCTACCGTTTGTGCAGAATAAAAACAGGGTGACTTTGTTCAAAATTACTCTCCAACTTAACATGGTCTGAAGAAGTTTCCATTGTTTTTTTTTCTTTTATACAATTGTTTCTGCTTTTCTCATGGATGACTTTCTACTAAGGTTTTCACTATAATTGAATTTCATTTTTTTAACCACAATTTTTGCTTTAGAACAGTTATAATTTAGTGGCAAATGTAGAAATTTTGAAAAGAAACAATAGCAAAGCAAGGCCGATCATTGCACAGGAAGCAGGGGGCGCTCCACCGTCCTTAACACGGCAAGAAAACCACACAAGCAAAAGAAAGAGAGTGGTCAACTTCTGCGCTGTTATTACTTCACTGGGGAGCAAAATACGTGGGACGAGCGGGCAGGGTTTGGAGCAACCAACAGGGGCAGAGATTGAGGGGGCAGGTGAGGAAAATGTCTAGATCACATCTGGGGCTAAGCCTAAAGGTGAAGAGAAGGCTGGGTTGGGGTCTTTATTTGGACAGGGTCCTCTCAGCCAAATGTTTTTGCTGACTTTCAGCATGCCTGAAAGAAAGTGAAAATAAAAAGCCTGTACAACACGTTTACATCTTTATCGTCCTGAGCCAAAACAAGAAAACAGCAAACACTGATCTGTTGCCAAAGTTTCAGGGTCTGATCTGGTTCATGTGGTGTTTAATGGAAAAACTGTGGTGAAGTGTTTTAAACTAAGAAGATAAAAGTGATTGTTTTTTTCTTTTTCATAGATTAGGAAAAACAAAGTTAGGTATTTTGGTGCTGTGTTCTTTGCTAAATTAGTTAAGTTTTTTTTTTTTTTTACATAGACGCAGATCGTTACCTGGTCAGATCTTCGATGTCCACCAGCATTGCATCCTGCTCCATGTGAAGCTCATCTCGGATCAGCAGTAACTGTACAAGTTCTTCATTCAGACCTACAGAGGCAAAAACATCATATTGTGTTTCCTATACGCTATACCATATTATACTGCAGTAAACCTCACCCTAACACCTCACCCAAAGGTGTTAGGGTGAGGTTTACTGCAACAAAGCATGCCTCAAGTATGTTCTCCCCAAATTCCACCAGCACGTCAAGTGTGCAACAAGGAGAGAAAACACACTCGACCATGTCTATTCCAACATCAAGCATGTTTGCAGAGCAACCCCCCCCCCCCCAACTTGGACAGTCAGACCACCTCTCTCTGCTCCTCTTTCCGATCTACACCCCCCTGTTTCTCCTGCACGGAGTGGAGCATTTTTTTAACATCAGGACCTGGACACACACACACACACACATTCTGTCCTCTTCTACATCAAGTACTGTGTAGAAAATGTCACGAGGACCGACGCATCTGGGCTTTTCCAAATAGAAAGCCCTGGATGACAAGCAAGTCCAGACTCTGATCAGAGTCCACAAATCAGCCTTCAGGACAGGAGACAGAGCTCTCTACAGCGCTGCCTCAGATGTAGAGGGGAAACCAGGCCCTAACCAACTACAAAGGCTTGTCTGAAGGCTTCCACCATCGTTATTATATATATGTTAAATATATATAATAAATATAAAATGCTAGGGAATTTAATAATATGAAAGAATAATTAAAAAATGATGATGAGTGACTGAATTAATAGTGCTAATATTTTACCAAATCCTCTAAATGAAAACCCTAACCCTGTAAAGCCTAACCCACCAACCATTTAGTAATCTACTAACCCTGATCCTAATCCGATGATCCCAATCCTAACAGGGATTACCACATCACTTCTTACCACTTTTAACAGTGCTACAGTGTGTTTTTTAAAGTAAGTGTTTTAACAGTGCTACAGTGTGTTTTTTACACAGGGCAACAGCAGCCATTTCGGTCAGTGTTACAGTAAGAACTTCAGGGAACCCTTGGTGTTGGTAAGAAGCAGCTCATCACGCTTGGAGTCTTGGGGAATTCTGAAGTAATTTAATGTCAGATGAACTACACATTATTCATCACAGAGTACCAGGATCAGTAATATGTGCAGTGCTAACAGTAATTGTTCAGGGGAAAACTGTGAACTGGTACAGTTCTTTGAACTGACTAACATTTGTAAAAGTACTTTCACATCCACTTGAAATGGTGGGGGTCAGTTTGTGCTTTGTTTTCTCCCTATTTGTTCCCTTGCCCTTTACAGTCACTCAGAGTAGAGGTCACTGACGCTGTGTGTGTGTGTGTGTGAACTCACTTTCAATCTGGGAGTGCAGATCATTGACTATAACCTGGAGCTGTCCCAGAGTCATGTCTCTCAGGTCTGTGGGCTTCAGGCTTCGCTTCATTAGACACTCACTGATGTGGGGCATGTGTGGAAGCTGCGGAAACACACACACACACAGAGGTACAAACAGAGGTTGGTAACAATAAAAAAAAAATTCCCACTCATCAGAGTGAAACTTGCCTCAGCCCCACTGTTGTCCAGGTCTGACTAAGGTGAAGCTCCTTCATAGCTCTGTGTCTCCCCACCCTTTGAAAACTGCCTAGTGTGGTCAAACAGGGGGCTGGGGGCCCATCAGAAACCATTGTCATTACTACTGCAGTTATGACATATCTTATCACCAGTCATCTAGTCACTGTTGGACTCACTGCCTCAGTGTTCAGGGTCTCATGGTACAATATATAGAAATTATGAGGAATGAATGGGATTTATTTCAAAAAATGATGTCATTCTGTCTCAGCAAACAGACAAGGGTTCAGACCTAAATATATATATACAGTACATATAAACCACTTCAGTATAATTTAGTGACAGACATTTCAATGCATTTTAACATAAAACAATTTAGGATATTAAAATATAATGTAAAAATATATGAAAAGTGGACAATTATACTTACTGTTATATTGGAATATATATATATATATATATATATATATATATGGGAGAGGAATATATATATTTAAATATATATTAAAAACCCTTTTTTAACATTATATAAAAAACATGGTCCTTGTTTTATATATAAATGTATACATGAATATAGGAAGGAAGAAGAACTTTCATATTGATATGCTGATTCTCATCGTCGGCTCTATACACACACGCAGGATCTCTGCGACAACGACCAAGTTCCAGGTAATTTAAAAAAAAATTATATATATATATATATATATTTGAAGACCGGGACGGAGAGCCATGAACGTCATCAGTCAGTCGGTGTGACTGTTGTATTAAACAGTTCAACAGAAATAAGGTGAAAAAAATCTGTCCCTGTTGTCCATGACTGCCAGACCTTAACTGACTGTTAAGGTCTGGCAGATAAATACAACTAAAAATGATGGAATGAAACAGGTGTTTTCCAAATATAACAATAAACGTGAAGCCACGGTGTATGCAGCTTTATTAGCAGTGTCCTCGTAACATCACGCTTGTCTTTTAATGCAGAATGATTGGTCTCCAAGTGGTGAAGCAGTTTTGAAGACTTTGACATTGTCTTATTAGAGAGCCGTTGGCTACGTATTATGCAGCACCGGTTCGGTGCGTTGGAACAACCTGTCACAATAAATCCATATTTCGGAATGGAGAGTTGGAATTGTCTGTTAATGCAGATTACTTTTTCTTTGAAGACGTAAGCTCTTCTTCTATCTCCTCATTGGCTCTTTTTTTTCGCTAAGAAACTTTCCAAAGATGTTTGTTTTCTGTTCATTTTTCTAGCTCACGGGTTTCAATTTAACAGTAATGTATTGTGACCTTTTAAGAAGGAAGCAGATGTAGGTAAGACATGTGACCGAGACAAGCATCTTGATCTGATCAAGTTTGAGTCATAGACAGATGCGGTGGCGAGAATCACGTCATTTTTCAAAATGAAACATCATTCAGAATCAGATTATAAATAAAACAGAAATAATGTTAGCTATGCATTCTTTCTGTGCGAGCCGGTACCAACTGACCCATGGACCGGTGCTAGTCCATGGACCGGTGCTAGTCCATGGACCGGTGCTAGTCCATGGACCAGTGCTAGTCCATGGACCGGGGGTTAGTAACCACTTCTTTAGACCACTGACTCCAGTCTCCTGTTTGTAGTGTATCGTCCTGATTTGACTGACTTCAAAGCTAATGATCAAATATACTGGCCCTCTAGTGGCCTTCTATGTGAAGCTCTTTTTTTTTAAGTGATTCAATTCATATATTAAGCAAGGACAAGGCTTTTGTTCCTGTTCAGTGTTCCTGTTAATTCTTTTAAATCACTTCCCCAAACTCATGTTCTTTCATGTGATGTCATTCTTACATCCTCATTTTAATTATTTACACTTTTTTTCTTTCATCATTGGTCAAACCACATAAACAGATTGTGACTGACTCCCTCAGAATGTAAAGCATTGTCAAAATGACTGGATTTATTTATTAGTTTATTATTAGTTATTATGATTTTAACCCTGTAAAACCATTTGTGTTCTGTTACGGTTTTATATATCAAAAACTGTAAACATGAGCAAAAAATGAGCATTTAAAAAACAAAATTGTAGTTCCAAGAATTTAGACATTTTTTTGTTTTTTTTGTGTGTCAGGCCTAATTGTTCCTATTATCCTGAGGTGCAGATAACATTTTATTTCATGATGTAATGTTTTTGTTTCTGTGAGAAACAGATACGACTGAAACACTGGTTTTCACACTACATCACCACATCACCATATTCAGTTTCAGTCAGACTCAGTGGATACAACAAAACCATGAAGGTGTTGGTCATTTTGTTCTCAGGTCATTTCTGACGTGGTTCTGTTCACTGGAACTTCATTCCTTTTGACATCAGTCTCCATCTGACACAACAACATTCC